ATTACTCAGCCATAAAAAAGAATGAAATAATGCCATTTGCAGCAACATGGATGGACCTAGAGATTATCATATTAAGTGAAGTGAGTCAAAGACAAATATCATATGATATCACTTATATGTGGAATCTAAAAAGATGATACAAATGAACTTATTTAAAAAACAGAATTAGACATAGAAAACAAACTTATGGTTACCAAAGGGGATAGCAGGGGGAGGGGGTGGAGATAAATTAGAAGTTCAGCATTAACAAATACACACTACTATATATGAAATAGGTAAACAAAAAGGACCTACTTTATAGCATAGGGAACTATACTCAATATCTTGTAATCACCTATAATTGAAAAGAATCTGAAAAATAATATATATATAAAACTGAAACAATTTGCTGTAAATTTGAAACATTGTAAATAAGATATACTTCATTTAAAAAAATGACTCAGTTACTATGTTTCACTGATTCCAAAATGCATATTTCTTCTTATTTAACATCTCAGAAATCTGGGTAAGTTTTATGTTAATAGCCATTGGCTATTTTTTTCTACCTTTGATGTTTTTGCAATTGGGATGTGTCTTATAGTTAGTGGCATCTTAGGTAAAATATGATACTGTTGTCCCCTGGAAATGCTATTCCGTGACATAATAAAGATGTTAAACCAGAGTAGAAACAGTTTAGATACTGAATGTTAATGAAACTATGTTCATAGTTGTAGTCAGTCACAATATGGTCTTTGAACAAAATTGTAGGTAAAGAGGAATCCTTTTATTTACAAAATGATATGTGTAATATATGAAATGGTGAACAAAGCAGACACTACAGCTCTCATAAAGCTCATAGACTACAGTAGCATTGTCCAGTGGAAACATAAGGTGATCTACATGTGTAACTTAAAATTTTCTAATAGTCACATTAAAAAAGTAAAAAGTAACAGATGAAATTAAGTTTAAGAAAATACTTTAACCCAATATATCCAAAATATTTCAGCAATCAATACTTTTAAATTATTAATGAGATATTTCTATTTTTCTTACTAAGTCTTTGAAATGGGGTGTGTATTTTATACTTACAACACATCTCAAATCAGAGTGGTCACATTTCAAGTGCTCCATGTGGCTATATTGGACAGCGGAGGTCTAGAGGCAGAGATGAACTTGTTTTTTTAATATATATATATATATATATATATATATATATATATACACATATGTAGCTACTTTTCTTTGGAGGGGAGATATTTTTATTTTTTTGAAGAGGTAAAACATACCAAGTTTCAAAAGTATCAGAGTACTCAGTGAGAAGCTTTCCTTAAATCCTGTCCACAGCCACCCATTTCTACTCCAGCAGGTAACTGCTTTGGTTCTGTGCATTACCAAATATATCCATATATTTTTTTCCCTTTGTTTCCCACACAGATAGTAGTAGCATATGGCACATCGGTACATCGTTTGGTACATTCTGTTTTTGTTTTCACTTAACATATTTTGTAAATCTTTCCACAAAATGTTTGCAGAGTTTCCTCATTCTTTTTAATGGCTGCATAATGAATATACCATAGTTTATTTCACCTTTTTTTTTTGCTGTATGCAGGCCTCTCACTGCTGTGGCCTCTCCTGCCGCGGAGCACAGGCTCCGGACGCGCAGGCTCAGCGGCCATGGCTCACGGGCCCAGCCGCCCCGCGGCACGTGGGATCCTCCCGGCCCGGGGCACGAACCCGCGCCCCCCGCACCGGCAGGCGGACCCCCAACCACTGCGCCACCCGGGAAGCCCTATTTCACCTTTTGATGGTTAAAATATTTATTATTTTTTGCTATTATGAAGACTGCTGCTATGAATATTCTGGCACATGTCACTTCATAGCCAAGGGAGTATATTTGTAGGATAAATAGCTAGAAATAGAATTGCTGAATGTGATTACAAGAATTGCTAGAACAGATACTCCCTATACATATTTCCATTTTGCTCACCATTGTACCCCCAAAACCTAGAATAAATAATATTTGGCACATTCTAGGCATCCAATACATATCTGATGAATGAATTAATAAAGTAGGAAGAGAGGCTTACTTTTCATTACTTCAGCAGTTATTGCCTTGACCTGAATGTTATATTTTGGATCGGATGCTTGTCTTATTCTTGAGTATTACTTTTCCCAGGAGACATGACCTCTCTCTCTCTCTCTCTCTACCTTGGTTTTTCTCACTCTACAACACTCCTCTCCCATCTGATTTAGAGGCAAAAGAAAGCTGGGAAATTACATTACTATTGTGAAATAAAATTCATATTTTAAGGCAAGACAAGAAAATTTTAAACATAAAGATATTCTTCTCTGTCCTTTGGCCTCCGCTGTGCCCCCACTGTGCATTGTGTATATGCATTATGCATCAACCAAACCTCCCCCATCAGCAGAAATACCTGCTCAACCATAAAGAGCAACATTCTCCCAGCATCAACAAGACAGCTCCTTAAAAGATAACATTCTTTCCTGATCTTGTAAGGGGTCACACGACCTACCACGATGACACTTAGATCTGGATTATGTAAACTGTCAATAATATGTCACTTGATGTACAGCCCTTTATCTCAAAAAACATATAACTGTACCTTCACTTGTAACCCGCAGAACAGTCCTCAGAGCTTTCTGAGATGCTCTTCCCAGGTTATAATCCTCAAATTTGGTTCGGATAAAAATTTCCATTTCTTTCTTGGAGCAACGGATTAATTTTTCGTCGACACTATTTAACAAGGCAGACTTTTTAAAATAAAAATTATTAGGGCTAGAGACAATCATCACGTAATGATAAAAGGCTCAACTCGGCAGAAATAGATAATTCTAAACTTATATGCATTTAATAAAGTGGCCTCAAGCTAGAAATGCGAATATCAACAGAACTACAGGGCGAAATAATGAAATCTATCATCACAGTAGATCCAACATTCTCTCAATTACTGATAACCCACATATGTCACTGTGTCAGGAACCCTTCTCCAAATCGTTACGGAATGCAAGGATGTGTGGTGCCATTATTTTCTAATGGGTGCTCAAAAATGCTTAAGTACGACAGTCCGAAAGAAAGCACAATTGAAAACAGCTGTGTTAACACACCTAGTAAATCCGATTTCTGTGGAAAGCTCATAAAAGGCACATTGGTGTTTCTTTGTTGAAAATTGTTCCAAATATGTCAGATATTAGTACTTCCTAAAGAAGTGGGGGGAGTAGGTAAGGGAGTCGGCCGTAATGGCCAAGGCAAACAGGAGGGGAATGTGAACACTTCATTAACATTCACTCAAAAACATTTATTCAACACTTAACTACATGCAACTCTATTAATTACCAGCCATTTCAGATCTTCAAAGTTCAAAGAGTCTCAAGAATAAACGATTTCTTAAAAGTTATTCAGGGGCGGGCTTCCCTGGTGGTGCAGTGGTTGAGAGTCCGCCTGCCAATGCAGGGGACACGGGTTCGTGCCCTGGTCCGGGAAGATCCCACATGCCGCGGAGCAACTGGGCCCATGAGCGACAATTACTAAGCCTGCGCGTCTGAAGCCTGTGCTCCGCAACAAGAGAGGCTGCGATAGTGAGAGGCCTGCGCACCGCGATGAAGAGTGACCCCCGCTTGCCACAACTAGAGAAAGCCCATGCACAGAAACGAAGACCCAACACAGCCATAAATAAATAAATAAATACATTTGGAAAACAAAAAGTTATTCAGGTATTTACACATTACTTAAAACCCTTGTAGACAAAACCGCGGACCTTACGAGACGAGAAAATTGGCGCCAGAGACTTTAGGCGCAGCGAGGACAGCTATGAGCAGTCGGTGGGGTCCTAGGACAGCCACGGAACTGCTCCTTCCTTCAGGCGGGAGTGTGGTCAGCTATGTCGGGGGCGGGGGGGACCTAAAGGACGCCTCTGCGCAGGCGCTTGCCGCCTAAATCCGCCCAGAGACGAACCTAGTTCTCTTTTCGGTCTCAGACATGGTGAGTGTGGTCGTGTTTTGGGTTGCCGTGTAGATGCGTCGGGAGGAGACTGGGTAGGCTAATGTTTAAGCAGTTCAGGCACCAGTGGGTTGTTTTCTAGGTATTGGAGAATGGTTAAGACACAGGCCTTGGAAGGTTTTTTGAGCAGTCAGAGACAGGGTGAAGTATTAGCGTTTATCTGCAGATCTCGCGGCTGCACATGCGGCCAGACTTCCTCCTATCCGGCGGGCCTCAGGGTTCAACGACCCGGTTTCTTAATCTCTCAAAAAAGCCGGGTAGTTCTCTTTTCCTTCTGTATATACATGTACATATATATTTCCTTCCATTTGGCCATGAACATATGGTTCAGAATCTTTATAAGTATTAATAGTATGGCCTTGATCTAGTAATTATTAATGGGATGTGAAGGAAATCAACTGCTTTGTTCTTATTGGTAGTGATCATGACCTACTTAAAATAAGAACTAGAGCAGCATCCTCATCACCTGGGGGCTTGTAGAAACTAAGATTAAAGCTGGAGAAGATTAGGCTGAAGGGACTGCTTGCTTGATAAATAACTTCTGGGGAACATGGAAGGTGCTTTGAAACCTGAGTTTCTAGGATTAATAAAATCTCATTAAGGAACTTAACTGAAAATTGTGGGCTAGCAAGATTTTTATTTTAATGCTTCAACTTTTTGCCACATGTAAGCCATATGTTGTCTTAAATTCGTAAAGTTTCACAGTGTATGTTTATTTTACTTAACTGTTTAAGTGAAACATAAGCAAAGAGTGATGAAGACGGAGGTAATTTTTTGGGTCGATGATGAGCTGGCATGTATTCTGAATCTAAAGTTGATTATTACTGCTTTAGCTCTAGAATTACCCTGAGACCTGAAAAATACCTGCATCTTTATGAGGGCTTTAGTTTTGTTTTAGTCAGATACTTTTAAAATTGAAAGTTTTTATATGGCAAAATGAAACCAGAATTCAAGTGTGTATTGAATATATGCTCCGGGGTCAAACGTTAAAAGATAAAAATTTATGAAATCACTTTTTGTGTGAAAGGGCACACCGCAGAAGGATGTTATTATCAAGTCAGATGCACCCGACACCCTATTAGTGGAGAAGCATGCAGATTATATAGCATCCTATGGCTCAAAGAAAGATGATTACGTATGTATACTTTTATGTTGAAAAGTTTATTTTTAAAGGTGTTGGCCATTCTGCATAAGCAGGTTAGTATGGCCCATGTTTCTTAAAAATGGTATCCAACTCCTGTGTGCCAAGGACTGGTATCTGTGGTTGAGGGGCAATGGAATTAACCATGGTCCTTATCAACACTTTAGAGGCTTTGGCAGACAAAGTAGATTTCCCTTCCTGCCCAGATATGTAAGAATTTTGAGGCATGGAATAGATTTACTTTTGTAGTTGAGGTAATGCTTTCAAGGTCAATGATGTGTTGGCATGTATTACCTGAGTTTGCTGTGATGTGGGATAACACTTAAGCTCTAGAATTACGCTGAGACCTTGAAAAAGTTTAACCTTGAAGAATGGTGTTCCCAGTTTTCCTCTGTGGGAAAATCTTAGAAAAAATTAAATGAACAACTTAATTGGAAGTAAATATTTTCCCCTATAGGATACAAAGAGCTGAAATTTACATGTTGAGAAATAATCTAGTATTGATGAATTCCCATAACCTTGTAGCTATAGAGTGAGGGCCATGTAATACCTTGACTATTTAGCTTCATGTGTTCAGTATCTTTAACCTGGCATCAATTCAAACTGACACATTAAAGTACTTCTGTATTTTAGGAATACTGTATGTCTGAATATTTGAGAATGAGTGGCATCTATTGGGGTCTGACTGTAATGGATCTCATGGGACAGCTACATCGCATGAATAGAGAAGAAATTCTGACATTTATTAAGTCTTGTCAACACGAGTGTGGTGGAATAAGTGCTAGTATTGGACATGATCCTCATCTTTTGTACACTCTTAGTGCTGTCCAGGTAAATACTAATAAAAATTCAGCAGTCTTGGTGATGTATTCTCTTCCGTGAGAGTGGGGAAACTGAAACTAGGTATAAGGAACATGACAAAATCAGTATGTTAAAAAGTTAACTCATCTTTTCAAATGAAGTATATGTTGTACAAGGTCAATGATGTGATGGCATGTATTAGCTGAATCCACAGTTGATGTAAATTCTAAAATTACACTGAGACCTTGGATGGTAATTATGTTTATCTTCAGTATATGTAGACATTTGAAAATCACTCACTGAAGTTAGGTTTGTTTGTTTTGAGCAAGAAAAATCCTTTGAAGTTAAGCCACTGAAATCTTTTATTAGACAGCATGACCTATCCTCTCCCAATAGATTACGTTACATAAATCTTGTCTGATAATAGAAAACAGTATGTTCTGAAGATTGTCATGTGGAACATTATTCAGAGAACAGCAAATAGCATGTTTGCCACATGTGTAGAAGCCTCCTTTATCTGTTTCTTGTATTGGTCAAACTTCTGCATGGCATTTGCTTCTCTCCATGGCCTGGCCATTTCCTCCCTTCTAGTCTCATCTTGCTTTTCATCTAATATCTGGAAATACCAAGCTGCTTGTGGTTCCCCGTTTATACTCTTGTCATTTCACAACTCTGCTGTTTTCCATGGAGTTTTAAAATTTTTTAATTTTTATTTATTTTTACATTTTTGGACGAACTGCGCTTGCGGTATCTTAGTTCCCTGACCAGGGATTGAACCCAGGCCCATGGCAGTGAAAACGCCAAGTCCTAACCACTGGGCCGTCAGGGAATTCCCTCCTTGGAGTTAGCTTTGATTTTGATATTAGTGAAAATCCACAAATAAGGGTTTAAAGTCTATGTAAGTTTAGTATATGTGAGTCTTAGAGTGCTAAGTTAACAATTTATAAATGGAAAAATAATGCTTTGTGGTTAAAGGTTTGTGTTTGTTGGTAATATCTATAATTTGAATACATAGTAGAAGTGCACATTTGAGAAAGTTCACAATGTACATGAACAAAAGGACATGCTTGCTTGACAACTTAAAAGGTAGTTGAGGAAGAACATTATTAGAACAACCTTACCAGTGTTGAAGAGGTATTTACTTACCATGGTTTGTTTTTGTTACAGATTCTTACTCTCTATGATAGTATTAATGTTATTGATGTAAATAAAGTTGTGGAATATGTTCAGAGTCTACAGAAAGAAGATGGTTCTTTCGCTGGAGATATTTGGGGTAATGTCCCTTTAATCCATGGCACCCAAAATACCAATCCAAAAATGTTCTGCTTTGGTGTTTATTGTAGTGATAAGCTTTGTTGCAAATTTTAAAGTTCAACAAATTGGGGTTTTTGCTAATAACTTATCAGGAGATTTTTAAGTTTTTAATCTTTTCAGGTCCCACTAAGCAGCTGGTCTAACTGGAGTTAATGGTCTGCTGGAAGTTCCAGCATGCACTGTGCTAGTTATATCAGCATACAGGAGTACTGGAACAGAGGGGGCCAGTCTAAAAGATAAGGTAGGTGAAACTTTTTTCCCCAATATTTGGTGGCTTTGTAAAGTTTTTTAAAAACTTTCTGGCAAGGGGAAAATATTCAAAAAACTTTACAAACTTACTGAATATTTGAGTGGAGGGAGGGAATAGTATTTGACTTGATAAATGTAGATAATCTCTGCTTTAGGGCTGAATACAGTGCAGGCAGGAGAGACCAGCTGCTTCATGGGATGTGAAAATCTACTTTTATATAATAGGGTAAGTTTATTATCATTCTGAGAAATTGACTAGTCTTTTTCTTTCTGTTACCTTTCTGGGGCTTTGAAAGCAATTTATTTGCTTGTATTTTTCACAAAGCAGTTTTCTAGTTCTTAGTTTCCTTCGAAATAAAGTAAGTGATTATGGATCACTTTTTAAAGATTTAGCTTTCCTCCTGGTGACTAACATGTACTTACATGTTAAGCCTGAACTCCTGGAAATTTAACCATGGTAGTTGTACAGAGGTTGTTTTTAATTAACTTTTACTACATAATATGATCAGAAGCATCTGATAACATAAAATGTTTTGGCTTGATCCCTTTATTTTTAGGAGAAATCGACACAAGATTCTCTTTTTGTGCGGTGGCAACTTTGGCTCTATTGGTAAGTTTTAAATGTTGTATTGGAATGATTAAGCTTCCATGATTATTCTGGAATTTAATAGGTATATTTTGTTTACAGGGGAAGCTGGATGCTATTAATGTGGAAAAGGCAATCGAATTTGTTTTATCATGTATGAACTTTGATGGTGGATTTGGTTGCAGGCCAGGTTCTGAATCCCATGCTGGGCAGGTAATTTATCAATCTAGATTAAAATGTAGTGTCTGTTTTGAAGGGATAACCCGTGTACTTGGGAAAATAGCAAGTTAATTTGACTGAATGTAATATAATGTGGGATGTTACTTAAGAATTAATTGCTGATTAAGGAAGGCATTTTTACAGTAGTTTACTTTGTATACAGTCTCCTGTTGGTGAAATCCTCTGACCCAGGTAAACATAAGTAGTTTTGTAATTACCAAAAATATATTTTGATTTTCAATTAGTTTTTAACCAGGTGAAAACATTCCCTACCTATCCCCAAGACCTGTTTGCTTGTGCCAGAGGATGTTGTATATGTAAATGGTTGTCAAATAAAGCTTGCTTTTAGCCATGAAGAAATTGTGACAGTCTTGCATTGCAAAGTTGCATCCTAGTAGTGTGGTTGGATTTGTTCAAATAATTGTGTTCTTGTTTGCAATTCTTACTGTCAGCAAATTTTTAGATAGAAAATAGAGCTTTAATAATTTAAGTAGTTTTTATCACCATGTTACTGTTGAAAAACTATTATACACATGTACTTTATGTCTGTAATTTTAGATCTATTGTTGCACAGGATTCCTGGCTATTACTAGTCAGTTGCATCGAGTAAATTCTGATTTACTTGGTTGGTGGCTTTGTGAACGACAGCTTCCATCAGGTGGACTCAATGGAAGGCCAGAGAAGTTACCAGATGTATGCTATTCTTCGTGGGTGTTGGCTTCCCTAAAGATAATTGGAAGGCTTCGTTGGATTGACAGAGAGAAACTGCGCAGTTTCATTTTGAGCACAGGCTCCGGATGCACAGGCTCAGTGGCCATGGCTCACGGGCCCAGCTGCTCCACGGCACATGGGATCTTCCCGGACTGGGGTGCAAACCCGTGTCCCCTGCATTGGCAGGCGGACTCTCAACCACTGCGCCACCAGGGAAGCCCAAGGTTAACTTTTTAAGTTTTATAACCTGGATTGAGGACTTTTTTTGTCTTACATATCTCAGTATTGCTCTTTTAATTGATAATGAGCTTTTCACCTTAACTACTTTGCATTATGTATATCTGGGAGTCAAAGGCTTCTATTAACACATGCATCTTGTACAGAAATCTCCATGCCCACTTAATGTGGGGTGGGGAAGGACAATGGATTTGCCAAATGAAAGATTTTTTTAAAAAATTGGATTACAACATTTTTATTTAAAATCCTTGTTAATTTTTAAAGAAAAACCCAATTTGTTTAGCTCTCACACACTCTGAATTGGGTCTGTAATGATCAGGTAGTAAATATTTTTAGCTTTGACCTATGGTCTTGTTACATGTACAAATTTCATAATTTTCCCGTCACAAAACTATTATTTTAAAGAATCATTTGCACATACTAAAAGCTATTCCTGTGGTCTAGATTTGACTCTGGCTGTAGCCTGCTGAGCCCCTGACCTAAAATATAGTAGAGCATGGTGATGCTTTTATCTGGGTCATTGTATTTTTGTTTAATTTTGCTTGCTCAGTATTTCTGAATAAGTTAATGGGTAGGGAAATAACCACAAGTGGTTTCTAGTTAAGATCCAATGAAAAACCTGCGCAGCTTTTCAATAAGTAAAAGATGGTTGGGGGTGAGGATTGCACTTAAAATCTAGGACAGCTTTTTTTTTTTTTTGCGGTTCGCGGGCCTCTCACTGTTGTGGCCTCTCCCGTTGCGGAGCACAGGCTCTGGATGCGCAGGCTCAGCGGCCATGGCTCACGGGCCCAGCCGCTCTGCGGCATGTGGGATCTTCCCAGACGGGCGCGAACCCGTGTCCCCTGCATCAGCAGGCGGACTCTCAACCACTGGGCCACCAGGGAAGCCCTAGGACAGCTTTTAATGTGCCTGTGAATCACCTAAGGATCTTGTTGAAATTCAGTCTAAGGTGGGAACTTCTGCATTTCTTAAGTTACCATGATTTGAGGAGCCAGGGTGATTTTTTTTTTTTTTTTAAAGCAGGTTGTGTACCTGCTTGGACAGCACTTAACTGAAAATGCTCTACCTAAGGCAGTGGAACATATAGTACCATAGATCTCATGAGCCTTACTACCAGATTCTTGGATTAAGGGGCTTATTTAGGTATTTATTGCAAATAGAAGATAAGGTAGATAGATGGTTATCAATGAGTACTGAAACTGAAACATTCAGCATGGTTTTCTATGGAATGGAGTGTTTGGTCTTCTCTTTTCCAGTGATTATCTCTAATTCTAAGCAATTGTATTTATGGACTTCAGTGTTTCAAACACTGCATTGTCGATATATCCCTTGATTCCCTTCCCATCACCAATATTTGGACCAGAAAGTACAATTGAGGCAACTGGTGGCTTTTTCCTCCTAGTTACCAGATGTATGCTATTCTTGGTGGGTGTTGGCTTCCCTAAAGATAATTGGAAGGCTTCATTGGATTGACAGAGAGAAACTGCGTAGTTTCATTTTAGCATGTCAAGATGAAGAAACGGGAGGATTTGCGGACAGGCCAGGAGATATGGCAAGTATATTTGTGACTGTTTATGTAACAGTTAAAATTTTCAGTGTTGCTTTGTGTTTTAAGGGTTATAAGTTTCCAGAATTAGGAATAGGGGGGTGGGGGGAAAGGATGGTATTTCCAAGTGTTGCTTTGAAGGGATGCTTTTTAAATAATTGTCATTTAAGAATATATGAAAGATCTAAAACAAGTTTACAGAAATTTCTGGTCACTTATTGCCAAGAAATGAGTGTGTGGACCAGGTTCTGTGTTTAAAAACACAATTTGAAACCATCATTATTTCAGAAAACTTTAAGCATATGTTCAAATAAAGGGAATACAATAGGCTTCAGTATAATCATTGTTCAGAAGCAGGGTTTTAGAAGTTTTCATTTTGTAATACTCTATAAATTCTTATGTTTTTAATAGGTAGATCCTTTTCATACTCTATTTGGAATTGCTGGATTGTCACTTTTGGGAGAAGAGCAGATTAAACCTGTTAGCCCTGTTTTTTGCATGCCTGAAGAAATACTTCGGAGAGTGAATGTTCAGCCTGAACTAGTGAGCTAGATTAGATCCCTTGATGCCAAAGTTGCTTAGTGTAGTTTTACTGTTTTAACATTTCAGTATTTGAAGTGCTTAACAAACTTAATGGCTGCCATGTTAATATTTTGTACATGAATTGTGTTGATTTTAATAAATTATATAATTATACATACTGTAAATTAGAGACCTTTATTGTATCTTCAGCTTTCCGTTTTCTTCTGGAATGCTGTTATTCTGAGCATAATATTTTGTTTATGCTTCAATGTATTTATCTTGTTTGTCTCTATAACAGCAAACTGAGTTGAACTCTATTTAGCTGATGAAGTCTTGTGTTCTGATTTTCCCGTGTACTCCCTTGATATGTTATATATAACTATAGTTAATATAAATTGGTCTTTGTCAATGAGAATGTTAACTGATAAAGAATTGATGAACCCCATAGAAATTAAAAGATGAAAAAAAATAAATGGCTGAAATTTGGGAATATTTCATGTTTGTGGTTACTGAGCTGGTTACAAAGTGATCTAAGTAAGTGACAATTCACCATCTTGGAATAGGATTGCAACCTGGACTATATTCTCACTTTCTAATATTTTATGTCAGAATGCCAAGGGGGATTGTTGGCTTTTTTCCCTGCGGAGTAAGGAAACACAAGTTGATAGTTGCCACAGTATTTTGTTACCTGTGTTTTCAGAAAGATGACACCACAGCTAATCTCTTATAAGAGTTTTATGTTCTTGGTGAAAATGAAGTATTTTAATGAACATTTTTTTGATGGAAGTTGAAATTTGCTCAGGCGTCTTTGCAATACCCTGTGTAAGAGAGAATCTTCTTATATGTGTATAGTGATGATTCTCAACACTTGACAAATGTGAGATTGAAATGTCTAGCATTGTTTTTTTGTTTGTTTCTTTTTTGTTTTTTTTTGCGGTACGCGGGCCTCTCACTGTTGTGGCCTCTCCCGTGGCGGAGCACAGGCTCTGGACGCGCAGGCTCAGTGGCCCTGGCTCACGAGCCTAGCCGCTCCACAGCATGTGGGATCTTCCCGGACCAGGTGGACCGGGGCACGAACCCATGTTCCCTGCATCGGCAGGCGGACTCTCAACCACTGTGCCACCAGGGAAGCCCAAGCATTGTTTTTTGACAGTTCACTAATTTGAAGAGTTTGAGTTGCCTTGCCAGTATTTTGTTTCTGAAGGTTTGGAAGTCATTGGATGGAACATAATTTTATTTCAGTGCTGTCATTGCAAGTTGGAGCTTTGAGGACTGCAGTCATTGCATGTGGATGAACTGTTCTACAAATACCTGATTTATTGACGTATTAACAGTCGCATGAATTGAGTAATGCATTTCTTATAGTATCCAGAGTATTCTGTTTTCAATCCTGGCATCTCTACGAAGTTGGTATTACTGTGTATTCAAGAAATGTAAGCAGGCACAGAATTTCCCAAAGGTCATTTGTTGTAAAGCTAGTTTGAGTTTGTGTAGTCTGCTCTTAACCAGTTCATACCTATGTGTGAAAACCCAGTACTAGAAATTGAGAGAGAGGAAACTGTCCAAGTGATAACCTCTTCTTAACCTGGTTCCTCCTATACTGTGCACATATGCTTACTGGGTGAAGGGCAGTCTTGCAGTGATAACAGCCCTGTGAATATTTAAGCTGTAAGGGGTTAGTGGCTCTTTAGCCACTTTAGCCAATGTTAAATGGTTTGTATTACTGTGTGAGCATTAAATTTGTTTCCACTATCACAGGCACTGCGTGCACAGTGATGACAGTTTCTGTAATTAAAAAGAAACTAGTGTATTTGGAGGTATGTGCGGAATGTTAGCCCCAAACACCTTGTGATAAGGACATAAGGTGCAGTGCGAATAATGGGTCTACCAAGTTGGATTGATGGGCCCAGAATTCCTTTCAGCTGAGGAGGTCTGTACCTTACATTTAGCTCGACCAAATCCTGTGGGAGGTGACGGGACCTGAACACCTGGGAGTACATTCCTCGGTGTGGATGGGGGGGAGGGGCGGGGAAGGTGGGCGGTTGCAGCACGGGCTCTGCGCCTGCGCCATTCGGCTTCGTGCGCCTGCGCACCATACTCGCACTTTTCCCGGCGTCGCTTCTGCGTTTGGGCCCTGCGTAGGGGTGTTCTGAGAGGGTTTATGAGCATGCTGAGGCCTGAGATCCCACCAACCTCGCCTATTGTCCCTGCGGTTTCCCCCTCCTCAGTAGAGGCTCGGTCCCAGGGTCCCCGCTACAATTTCGGACTCCAGGAGACTCCTCAGAGATGTCCTTCAGCCGAGGCCGCCTCTTCGTCTTCCCCTCCAGGCACGTCTGGAGCGGCGGGCGACCGGAGCGGCAGCAGCAGCCTCCCTCGGCACCCGCCCAGCGCGCGGCCAGCTCAAGGCAAGGAGCGGTTGTGTGAGTTCCCGGAGGCTCAGGGAGCTGTGGTTGGTGGTTACCACAGAGAAGTATCAGTTGGGGTTTGTTTGGAAGATGAGAATGGGATGCTCCGGGAATTTAGTATTTCTGAGTGACTAAAGGGCTGGACTCTTCTTCAAATTAGTTTCATTACAAGGCTGTGATGGCGGGTGGCTCGGTTCTTAGACGGGTTGCATTAACATCCGGTGTGATGTCCCAGCTCTCTGCCCCTGATGACAGATGCCTGAATTTGTGCATGAGTTTGGTGATAGAAGTGAACCTCTCGGCTCCTGAGCTTAACTCTCCAAGTCCTTTGAGGATGCTGTGAAAACAAACCAGATTTGACATTTTATCTAATTGAGGTGAATAATATGTTTAGTCTGAAAAATGTCTTTCTCCATGGCAAAACCATCACCTTTTTTTCCAGACAACATTGCAAGTCAATGATAAGGTAACAAATGCCAAATTCAGTGGTCACTTTTCAGTTCATCTTGTGTGACCTTTCCACTGTGTTTAATGTTCTTGATCGGTCTTCTCTTAAACCGTCTTAATTTGCTTTCGTTGATTCCACTCTCCCCTGTTTTTCTCCTGCCTTCCAGAGAACTATGCTTACCTTTGTTAGTTCCCAAATTATTGGTTTGTCCTTGGAGGTTTTTTCCTAGGCCACTTCTGTCTGGATGTGACTATCACCACAGCCCAGATCTCATATGTTCCAGATTCCTATTTCAGACTGTCTTCTGAAGTTTCTGGTGAGGAACCAGTGGAAATTCTCAGACTCACTATATGATTAATTTAATTCATCTCTTTGCAGCTCCTCAACCTGTTTCTCTTACTTATCTCAGTCATTGGGTTTTCTAAATCTTAAACCCAGGAGACCAGTAATTCGAGTATTCCCTCACTCATAACATCCAAATAGTTAAATTCTATCTAACTTTATCTTTTAAATAATTCTGTACTTTTCTATCTCTGTGCCATTACACGCCCTTAATGATTTTATGTCTGAGTTGTTGCCTCATACTCCTAAGTATTCTTTCTTTCAAGCTTACTTAGAGTATCGCCAGAGTTATATGGAAAATGAAAATCTCTCTTTAATTCTCTCTTTTTTAAAATTAATTTATTTTTGGCTGCGTTGGGTCTTTGTTGCTGTGTGCCAGATTTTCTCTAGTTGTGGCGAGCAGGGGCTACTCTTCATTGAGGTGTGCGGGCTTCTCATTGCAGTGGCTTCTCTTGTGGAGCACGGGCTCTAGGCACACAAGCTTCGGTAGTTGCAGTACGCGGGCTCAGTAGTTGTGGCTCACGGGCTCTAGAGCGCAGGCTCAGTAGTTGTGGTGCGCGGGCTTAGTTGTTCCGTGGCATGTAGGATCTTCCCGGACCAGGGCTTGAACCTGTGTCCCCTGCCTTGGCAGGCGGATCCTTAACCACTGAGCCACCAGGGAGGTCCCGGAAAATGAAAATCTTATGTCCCTTGGCACTTCAGTCAGTGACTCTGTATTTGCAGTTTAAAAAATCATACATTTTTTTTTTTTTAAATCATACTCTTTATCAGGACATCCAAGGCCATTTGGGATCTGTTTTCAATCTTTGCAGTCTTATCTCTTACCATTTCTTAATAATTACCCTACTTTCTAACCTAATTGACCTACTTGCAGTTCCTCCAAGGCAACATACATGTTTACGTTGTCAGTATAATCCCCGCTTCGTGAAATGCTTTTTCAACAGTAATAACATCCACTAATTAATGAGCACTACTCTGTTCTAGCTTCTTACTTGGCATTTTGTATCTGTGATCCTCACAATAATTCTGCAAGGTAGATTTTTCTTTTGTCCCAATTTTACAGAGGGAGTTTGCCACCCCATGGTTTATAGTGTTGGAGAGGAGTTAGGGCTGTATATGAAGGTTTGAGAATTGTCAGGAAATAGATATTAATAGAAATCAAAATAATAGATGAGATGCCCAGAGAAAATGTATAATTTTGATTTTGAGAGAAAGTGAAAAAGTATGGAACCTTGGGAAGGCAACCGTCAAGAGGCAGACAGAGGGAAAAAGGACCTGGCAAAGGAAGCTAAAAAGAAGTGGTTTAAGGAGAATCAAGATAGAGAGTTGTCATGGAAATCAAGGAGAAAAGGAGAAAAGAGACCCAATATATACTTTTAAGAACTTCTATGTGTGCCCACAACACTAAATCAACTATACTTCAAGTAAAATACAAACAAAAAAACCTCCTATGTGCCAAGACACTATGCTAGGCTGTTTATGTACATTCTTTCATATTTTATGACAACCCTATAAAATAGGTAATATCTTATATCATCAGGTAAGTAACTAAACAAGGAACTGAATCAAAGTGAGCCTAAAACTCTCTTTACACCAGTTACCTGGGAGGAGAGAGTTTCAATGAAGAGGTCAACAGAGGAAAAGATGTATTATAATTACTATACAAAGAAAATATATCTGGTATATTTGAAGATTAGAAGGTAGTTTGTGATTTTAGCAAGAATAGTCTCAGTCAACTTGTATAAGAAAAAGCCATATTAGCAAGGACTTTTCATTATTCTTTAGTACAAGATTATTTATCAGTAATGTTAGACTTGTCATAATTTGTTATACTAAAAAATCATTATCAGATGAAGTTTTATAGAGATTTGTAAGAATTAGTACAACATTGCATAATTCGGAATCTTTAAGAAATGATTTTTAATTTTTTTTGAATTTAGGTTCATACTTTACAAACAAAAGATCTTATGCAGAAAACACACTTGCATCACATTTTACTCTCGGTACAAGCTCATCCTCTGTGGGAGATAGTAATTATCCTCAAATACTAAAAACTCCATTATCTGCTGGAAATCCCCAGAGACCAGGTTATAAAAGTTGGACACTGCAAATGGAATATTCAGGTAAAGTGAGTGGAATATTGGCCTAATTGATCTTTTGAAACTTTTTAAGTTTTATAAATTATATATTAGGGTAGTTAAGTTAATATGAAGTTACTTGTAACCAATATGGAAGACTGAACGATAAATACATCAATTTAGCCATATCTACAATTTGAAGCTGGATTAATAAGTCTCCATAGTTTGTGATATTGTTTGTTAAAAAATGCAGGTCTACATTATTTTATCATTCTGACAAAAAAAGCACAAGAAAGAGAAAGCCCTTCCTTCTGTACGTTTGCTTAAATCTAAAAGTTGATCCTGTAATACTATTGAATGATTTTTTAATACTTAAATTTTAGAATTTATCTAAATGTAGATTTTCTTGGAAAAATGGGTGAAATAGGTCTACATGTGTAAACATCTCTTGGTTCAAAGATAAATGAATGTATACATTTACAAAATAATGACAAATTGTTTTTCTGAGTGGTTCTGCCAACATAGACTCTTACTAGCAATATATGAGCGTTCTTGTTGATCTGTATCCTATTCAGCATTTGTTACTGTCAGACTCCTTAATATTTACCAGTCTAGCAGTTGTAAAATACTACCTAACTATAGTCTGAATTTGCATTTTCCTGGTTATAAATGAGGTTGATTATTTTTTTTAAGTTGTCCATCTTCTTTGCTGGACTATAAACTCCATGAAGACAGAGACTGTAGCAGTGAAGCTACAATCTGAAGTAGAACCATACAATAATTTAAATAGGGAAGATTTAATATAAAGAATTATTAAACTCATAAAAGAGTAACTATAGGATATAAAGAAACTCTGTGAGGCACCCTAGGGCTAAGGGGACTCCTAAGAGGTCCTGCTTGGAAGTGGGCCCCTTTTGGGTCCCATTTCCAACGCTGGGGTACTGACCTCTTTGGAGAAGGTGAATACTGAGTGGCAATTTCAGTAGTGACCACAGATTTGCAAACGGGAAGCAGGCAGGGTGGGTGAACTATAGCTGGTGGCTAGAACATGGCTGTGCAATGGGAGTGGGCTCTGGTGTGGGTTGGAGGCCTGGAGCACACAGTCTCCCTGTTGGGAGGGTGGTGGCATCAAGAGGACTATGGGAGACAGACTGAATAGAGAATGAAAGAGCCGAAGGAATTAGTATGGGCAGGAGGCCTGGAATGCAGGATATCTCTGTTGAGAGGGCTGTAAGATGATTGTTACCGTGCCATGCTGCGGCTGTATGATTGCCAGAGGACAGCACATTCTGGGTATGTAGCTGGGCACATCACCACCAGATGTCCTCATACCTACACTGCTGACCCAGTGGAAACTGCCGGAGAGCCTTCATCATGCAAGTTCCCTCCAGTGCCCTCAATTGAGAAAACTTAACATTATGCACACTTTTTTTTAAAACATCTTTATTGGAGTATACATTATGCACACTTTAAAGGAGAAATACAGCAATTCTGTCCACTGTTGCAGAGCTTACATTGAAGTGTGAATTTGGAGCCGAGTGACAATAAATTGATAACTGGCGTAACTCCTTTGGCTATTCAGTGTCCATATATGTCATTCTACACACATTTGGATTCCTTTACAACAACAAAACAACTCTGTGTTTCTACCTAACAGGATGTATACATCTGTACTTACAAGTGAGGGGGTTCTCACTCTT